AGAATTGAAGAAAACTTTAAAGTTAAAATATTTTTCCCTGTGTTGAATACAGTTTTGTCTCAACTAATTAGTCGGTTTCAAGGTATGCATGATGTTATAGAAGATTTCAATTTTTTAAACTCTATTATTCTTTTAACACAAACCGATGAAAATATTATGAAAGCATCATACGATTTTTGTTTAACATATAAAGACGATATAAATTCTGACTACCCACGACAAATGTTATCTTTAAAATCGTTTATAAAATATGAAAAATTAAATACAATTCAACATTTAGGTAGTTTTACTATAAATAACGGTTTATCTAGTAGTTTTCCAGATGTTTTAAGTGCTTACATAATTTTTCTGACAATACCAATTACTGTAGCAGGAGCAGAACGTTCTTTTTCGAAACTAAAACTAATAAAGAATTACTTAAGAAACTCATGCGGACAATAACGTTTATCTAGTATAGCAATTTTAAATATAGAAAAAGAGCGAACAAAAACTCAAAATATTCAGAAGATTATTGATAATTTTGCCAACGCAAAATCAAGGAATAAAATTTCTTAAAATATAGAATGTTTTTAAATTTACATTTTGTTGTTTCACAAGAATTTATTCACCGATGGAAATAAATTAAAAATTGATTCTATAGATTTGATATACTATTTATTGTAAAAAAATATACATGTTTCATGTTTCTTAGGTATAATATAATATTATTATGTAATAATTAAAAATCATGTTAAATAAATAATTTATTATTTAAGATAGCTTTTAAATATTATATTACCTATATCTACCTATATATGACGTTAAAATTAGGTCATACATTTATTATGCAATTTAATTTGTGATAGAAATATAAAGGTATAATATTGTACTGCAAATTGTTTTTCAAGGGGGCCCCCTAATTTGCATTTGCACCAGGGCCCCCAGAGTTCAGGATCCGGCACTGCTGTTAGCACCTCTAACGTCGGTAACTTGAGTAAAATAATTTGTTATGTCACGCTTTTTTGTTTTTTCGTTAGGATTCATTAAATTTTCCAATTTGTTTATTCACTTTCAAGTTTCACTCTTTAACCGAGTTAAAAGAATTAACACGAGTTTTAACTTTTAACTATAATACCTAATTAATATGTTATCTTAAATTGCAGTATTATCACAGA